ATTATTAATAATCCCAGCTGAAAGATTTAAATGTGAAAAATAAGGATTTAAAAACACGATAAAGAAACTAGAATATGAGTTACATTCAATGTCCTTTTGGGATCAATAAAATATTTTGAATTTTATTCTCACTAAAATCCCTTCATTAGTTTATATTTTGCAAACACCGTCAATTAATGCTGAAGGAATAAATGCGTGTAGTTTTCAGAGTATATATTGAGGAATACTCTCGGCTACTACCACACCAAATTTTAGCTCAATATCTGTAAAATTTGCCGAATTACAGCAATTTTTTTTTGTTCCAACAGTGATTTGGATGTGGCAGCCATCTTAACTTCTAAGGTTGAGTCATAAGTTTGAAAAAAATGGGAGTAAATGAAAGCTCAGTCTCATTAGAGAACATTTTCCCCAAAATAGAACTGTGTTTTTTTGCAAATCTCACGTAGATTAGCTGATTTTTATTCCCCGTATCTGTCACAAGGATTGTTGCCCTGTTAGCTGCTGAAACCCATCATCTGAAAATGTTTCAGAGTAAAAACGTCTCCCCTGCAGTTTTCCAGGGAAAGATCCAATCACTTTTATTTTTACCAGATAATCTGGCAGATTGCCTTTACAACCTTCTCTGCAACACTTTGTCAGCCTCAATCCCACAAGACCTTAAAATAAACAGTCCAGGTCGCTGCTTGTTTTAGATTTCCCCCCGTTTCCCCCCAAAACTTTCAGTAATTTCCCACTTTCTAATCTTCCCCAGCCTATTTTACGCCGTTAGTCTTGAAGCGCCCAYCTGCCGATGACAGCTAATCCTTCCAAACCGACTTCTGCTTAAAGCTCGATGCAGTTAAGGTAACCCAAAGGGTGGGATGTGGAGGGGGTCTCATTGCTGTTTCGTAAATCTGACACTCTCCCTCTAACCCATCCTCTGGTCCCCCCGCAGACATCTGCACGGTCTGACAGTCAATTATATCCCCTCACCTTCAAAACGAGGCTGCTTCTTTCACCGCACAGGAGGCATCAGAGCCYCGTATCTGGATCTGATCTTTATCCTTCCCTCAGCAGCATGAAGCGTGGAGCTGTCGACTCAGGGCCGCTGCTGACCAGAGGAGGAGGGTGTGGAGGACAGTCCTGATGCTCTTAAAGAACAAAATGATGTTTGAATGAAAGACCAAGGAAATACAAAACCTTCAAGAAATCTTCACGCAACTATTTGTGTTAAACGAGGAAATAAATCTGTTTAGGTAACATTTTCTTCTCTGCAATGACTTCCCACCAGTAATCAGTTCTCTYTGTGTGAACCATGTTGAAGGTTTCTCACCAACTTGGTATAAAAACAGATTTAGTTTCTCAACAGTCCTACATCATTTACCGCAAGCATCAATACACAAGTTAAAGAATCTGAGTCCTGATCCATGGGTGGATCCAGGTCAGAAGGACCTCTGCTGAAACCTGATCGAGTCTCGATTGGAACCGGAACAGTTCAATTCTCCTGGAATCATTTGATTTTTTATATTTTGATTTCCTAGTTTCGACAACAAGTCCACTGACTGGAAAACGAAGCCACCGAACACCAACGAAGAAGAATGTGTGAGCCACCCAAACACTGACAAAGGAAATGTCCAAATTCAGGAGCTGCGTCCTTCGAAGGCTGAATTACTGTTTACGTCACAGCGTCGCGATGAAACCTGTCCAAATATAACGGCTCCTCCGATTGAGGCCCACACGTCCTCCTTTTACCCCTGATTTGAGGGATGTAGATCATGTATAAAGCTCATAAAAATATTACCTACTATTCAATCAAAAATGTTAAAAGAACGAGTCACTTTAACTTATAACAATATATTTTGTTTTTAAATCAGTAGCTGCAAAAAACGTGATTTTGAGCAGAAAAAGCCTCAAATCTTTGTAATTTTTCCAGCGAGCTAACAAAGCTTTTCCTATTTCCATCTAGAAAACCTTCATATCCAAGTATTGTTTGAGGTTTCCTCTTCAAAATGACCTCAAAAATTCCTCATTAGAAAAACCTAGAAATAGGATTCAGAGCGATTATCAATGAAATATCCTGATTAGGCAGACAAATCAGAGCATATCTCTGGAC